TATATATATATATATATATATATATATATATATATATATATATATATATATATATATATATATATATATATATATATATATATATGTGTGTGTGTGTGTGTGTGTGTGTGTGTGTGTGTGTGTGTGTGTGTGTGTGTGTGTGTGTGTGAATTCGCAATATTCAATTGCTCGCGAAGGTTGCTTTAGAATAGTTAGATTTAGTGGATATTAGGCATAAATATTTTAGCATTAAGCTACACTGAATAGCCAAATGTATACAAGTCGTGTTTTAAGGTATGCTGGCATATACAGCCACATTTGTCTGTAGAAGGCACATGTGAATTTAAACCTTTCCGCGAATTCTATGAACTTGAATTAAGAGTATGTGTATCAACTTAACGGTAAAAATACAGCAAATCGAATCTGTAAGGAGTATTAAGGACACGTGAGGTCAGAATTATAGTGTTGACCACCTAAATCTGATCACGAGAAATATATTTTATATTTATACGTAAATGTGTAGTTGTATTCGTCTAGCGTAAAAAAATTATATATTTAAGGACACAGCTTCCTCCTTCATATTTCATACTCCGAACGAGAGAAAGGAGAAGGAGGAACACGGAGGGAACCCAATGAGTTAAAGAGGAGATCTACATCTACGGAATCTCAGATCAGTGAGAAGCGGAAGAGGACCAAGCACGTGGTTAGACGTGGGAAACAAGTCGTGTGAAGACAAGTTTCAGGTGATGTTGTCAAGGCATTGGATTGAACTCAAACTCAACACTTGAATACATGATGATAGTTATACTCTGTAATTGAATTCCGTCATTGACCATCAGTCGAATAGAAAATGAATTTTGGATATGCTTGAATTGAATATACATAGTTTATTAAATCGGTTGTATGGGAATTTATTTTTCTTTTATTATATTATATTATATTATATTATATTATATTATATTATATTATATTATATTATATTATATTATATTATATTATATTATATTATATTATATTATATTATATATATATATATATATATATATATATATATATATATATATATATATATATATATATATATATATATGTGTGTGTGTGTGTGTGTGAATGTGTGTGTAATATGTATGCTGTATGAACAATATACCACGAGATTTATACATTTTTTCATTAAAAGGAAACGAAGCTTGCTAAGTTTTCTTTTAATAAAAAATTTACACAACGAGTGGTATATCTTTGAATCAGCGTACATACTGTGCATATATTTTATTTATATCACATACAAATACATATATTTGCCTTTGAAACTCAGTTCAGATTTACTATAGGCGGCTGTGTATTGACCAAGTTAATATACTCCTCACATCCTCGAGTGTGTCCTCTACAAAATGTAGTTCTATGCATTTCGTGGCTAGTAACAATCACATTTGCATATTGATAAGTTAATTACTTTATGTTTTAGTTTATATTTTTTCACATTGATTAAATCAATATAATACATACTTATAATATAAACATGGAAGATGGTTTTAATGATAAAAGTAGAGCACAGAAAAAAAACATATGGCTAGCTACGCCATTCACATGAACGCTACCATTCACGTACCGGCGCATGAAAATTAATGTGGAATATCAACCAAGGTAATCAAAATATTTTAATATATTTACAGCTGATCATAGTCTCAGAGCTATTTTAAATTTAAATTGTCTGTCTTTTTTCAGTGTTAGATGAGATACTGATATATGACACTGAGAATGTTTGACAGAGCAAAAACCCGATAAAACATCTGAAGAAACCACCGATCCACAGAAAACTTCTGACTAGCTTTCTCACCAATCTGAATAAATCAACTCCGTTGTCGTACGTAGAACAGTGGAGATCTGATTTTAATCAAATCAGTTTTTCCACATACCCATACTGACCAAATCGAGAGTCAAACAGACGCGGATATTACTATTACATATAATTGCACCTATTTCATCTTGAGTTAATTTTTCTACGGATTTTTTTTTTAAATTCAATTTTGAGAAAACAATGGTCTTCAACATGAAACGGTACATAGTGTTGCAGATCCAACGTTACTCATTTTATCCAGCAACCCCCATCGCAAAAAGAAAGAAGGAAAGAAAGAAAAACAAAATGTCCTTTAATACTCCAGACATTTCAAAGGCCAATATCTTATTATCAATTCTTGATTTAGTTGCTGTGGAGGGAAGATACCTGATTGGCGGTAAAGCATTAAATGCCGCCCAAAGGAATGATTAACAAGCTAAGTCTGGGAACTAAAGTGTCACCCGTTATTGTTAATTAACCGTGGAGGGATTTATTCCGTACCGCACGAGATAGACCGTTACGTGTTTGCTATTCACACCTTATATTAAGCCGTAAGGTAACTTATTTTCACGTATTCCACCAGATTTAACCAACTAGTAGAATATGCTACACTCACTAACCTAAAATTACCTGGGAAGAATGTGAAGTCGTCCGAATAATTTCACTCAGTGCAGAGTTAATACATGTGGTAACTTTATATCGTGGCAACAAAATAAGAACATAAGAGGCAAGATGAATTCTTGTTTCTCAACATTACCTATGGAAATTGTTGTGATGTCGTCTGTGTGAACCCTTCAGCAAGCACACGCTTACCATTTCATTTTATTATTGGTTTCTTAGTTTTACATATGCGTTAATGGAGAAAGTGCAATAAAGAGTCCTTGTTGAACTTCTGATTGCTTTTTTAGTTTTCGTAACTTAGTATGGCTGATGATACATCGAAAGCGATAATATCATAAAAGTAGTTTTTGTAGAATATATATATATATATATATATATATATATATATATATATATATATATATATATATATATATATATATATATATATATATATATATATATATATATATATATGAGAACCACACAGAGGCTGTTTCTTGGGAAGTAAGTCTTTTCTAAGAATTATATTGGAGGTCGGTAGCATTAACTAATATGATAATTTATCGATCAATGAAGCATTGAAACAATATTTTTCTTTTGGAATTTGAGTTAACGGTGGGACATTTTACTTTTCTGAAATAAGCCCCGCCAACGGATATTTAAATATGCATAGCATTTCTACGTGTCTCTTTATCTATGCATTTGATATATCTCATAGTTTAGCGCAATCAAAGATTTAGTTGATAAGTAATATTAACTGATAATCGTTATTGATTTTTTATATTATAGTGCTATTTGTGGGAATAATTTCCACACGATGTTCCATTTGTAACCAAGTATGACTATCCGCACCAGGCCAGGCATTCGTTGGTTGCTAGTAACGTGATAAAGGTAAGCTAAGCAAGGTTGATTGTCCACCCAATCCCTACCTTGTTAAAGCCTTCAAGGCTAAATTTGTTAACATTGTTAAGGCTTTCAGGCGTTAAGAACGTATACTTTTATACGGTACAGTATACGTTGAATGCCCATAAGGCTTAACATATATATATATATATATATATATATATATATATATATATATATATATATATATATATATATATATATATATATATATATATATATATATATATATATATTTATATATATGCATGTGTGTGTGTATGTTGTTATTGTTGTTGTTGTTGTTCGTCATCCGTTCCCGAAGACGACCATGACTTCACGTCTGTAAGTGCTCAGATGGCTGTTGAGTCAAATCCGCGCTCTGAAGTGTCTAGGGCAATGAAGGCGGGGAATTGCCGGGACCTGGATCGATTGAGGGTTGGCGCTGTTTCTGCTCTTCATCTGCCGGTGTTTTTGTTTGGCCTCGATGAAACGTTGCTCTTCAAAAGCAGCAGCGCCGGAATTGATCTGTTTGCGCCAGGCATCGCGGTCTTCGGCAAGCTGCTCCCAGCTGTCTGGATCAATGCCACTTGACTTCATTGAGACTTTGAGCATGTGCTTGTACCGCTTCTTTTGGCCTCCTCTGGAATGCTTGCCTTCAGTTATTTCTTCACAAAAAAGTCTCTTCGGGATGCGCTCATCAGGCATATGTCTGACATGGCCAGCCCAGCGGAGCTATGATCTTCTGAGCATGGCATGGACGCTTTTCATCTCAGCTCTCTGGAGGACTTCTGTGTCAAGAATCGTGTCATGCCATTTGATAAGGAGCAGTTTTCTGAGACAGCGCATGTGGAAGGGGTTTAGCTGTCTTTCATGACGACTGTACATCGTCCATGCCTCACAGGTGTACAAGAGAGAGGGCAGTACTACTGCGCTGTACACCTTGATCTTGGTTTTCAGGCTGATTCCTCTTCTATTCCACACAGAGCTGAGGAGTCTGCCGAAGGCTTCACTTGCGCTTACAATCCTGAGGGTGACCTCTTCATCGATGGAGACTGTGCGTGACAAGGTGCTACCAAGGTAGATGAACTTTTCAGCAACGGCGAGCTTCCGGCCATTGACGGTAATGTTTAGTTCAGTGTAGGGGATTGAGGGTGTAGGCTGGTACATGTATATATATATATATATATATATATATATATATATAGATATATATATATATATATATATATATATATATATATATATATATATATATATATATATATATATATATATATATATATATATATATAGATATATATAGATATATATATATATATATATATATATATATATATATATATATATATATATATATATATATATATATATATATATATATATATATATATATATATATATATATATATGTGTGTGTGTGTGTGTGTGTGTGTGTGTGTGTAACTATTTCGATTAACTTTTGAAGAAAACATTAAGGTATTTCTTATTTCGCTTTCGATCTATGAAGTTCTAACTTCATATAAAAGGCAAATTATATGTTGGAAGTTTTCTTCAAAAATAGAATTTAATAATCGATAGCCAGATTAAAGTTAGTCAATGATCGTTTGGGGTACCATACAGTTCCAATGTCAAAAGAGATAGTTAACAATTGTTTAAACAAAAAAATGCATCCATTATATTTTTGCAAGAGAAACAAAACCACTCCGATGGCTTAATGATTAGAGCGTCTCCCTAGGATGCTGGAGGTCGTGGGTTCGATCCCCGGTCGAGTCATACCAAATACTTACAAAAATGGTACTAACAGCTGCCTTGCTTGGCGCTCAGCATTAAGAGGTTTGTGTTAGGACTGGTTGGCCTAGTGTCAGGATAATGTGATTGGGTGGGACATCATGTTACATGTCTGCGACATGATGCTCCAGTGCTAGACATCACTATAAACTGTCACACTGCATACATTGTAGCGATATGACTGAAAAGTTGTTAAAGCTAAGTTAAAATTCATAATCACATCACATCACAAGAAGAGACACATCATATTCGCTGGCCAAGGTTCTGATCTGTTTATCTTATCTATCCCTTTCCGGATTGAACAGATATGTTACTGCTTGTCATAGTGACATCTGTGGGATTCCATGAATCCCAACCCCACTTTAGTATGCAATGCCAACTAATAAATGCCGTATAACAGCGGTTCATTGTACATCGGCAAAAATGATGAAGGTAATTGACTTTAAAAGGATACTTTTTAAGTTTAACATGGAAATTATGACTATGTACCAGAGAAACAATTACAGGTGTATTCGAGTGAAAATTATTTGTATCAAGACGGACCTGTTAGAAAACTGTTTATTTATGAGTCATTCAAGTTGTGTGCTTACATGTAGAAACAATGTTCAAATTTCGACAACTAAATATTGACTGGATACGGTAGATTTCCCACTCGTTCAATGAAATTCACAGACCTAAAGCACATAAATATCTGTTCGATCCGCCAAGGTTTTGATAGGTTTAATATGTCTGAACCTTGGGTAGCGAAAATTGAGTCACATAGTCCAGTTTAAAAGTACTGAGTAATTGAATTGTGGCTATCATTGTAGTCGTAAATTTAGCAATAGAAGCTATCCTGTTTAAAAATCTGTTTGAATTTCTTATTCACAGAAGCATATTTGATTGCCAGGGCATTTATGATCATTTAAATTTATCATGACTGAGATCTACCTTAGTGAATCTATACGGTCGTAATGATGATAATGCCGAGCTTTTAGAAATCTGAACGTGACTATTATACGTTTTGACAATTCCTCACTTGTTAGTTTTGGTGACTGGAATGTTGTTCAGGAGCTCGATTTTTATATTTTGCACAATGAAAACTGATTGACCATAGCGGCATTCCAGGACATCAAGAATCAACTTGACTTAACGGATTCATGGAGAACATTTAGACCGTCATGACTGTAGAGTATATGCGTCGGAAAATATAGATAACGCACGATAGAGTTTTGCAAGGGATCACATAATACTTGTCATCTCCGCACTTTATGCTGCTTTGTGTAAATCTTTATGTTCCAGGGTAATTTAACTTCTTCTCTAAAGCAAAGTCTAATGTGCTGATATTTATTCTAAACTTACATGTACGTCATCATAACGTAACTTTACCAGAATATTACAATGCATACAATAAATTAAAATGTAAACACGGTTATGACCTATGCCTTATTTTCGTACCGTTATTAAGGACCCTAAACATTATTCAGTAAGATTATATGCGTACCTAATTACAGCAACATTAAGGTTGAAGCAGATAGATGTATTCTAGTGGTATTTAAGCACATCAGTATTAGGCACGTCGACAGGAGATGTAATGGTACACACTTTTCTTAATTATTTAGTGTGACTACAACGCAATCTAAATTCAAATCTCAGCAAAAAAAACCTGTATGCATGTTTTATTATATGTGTTGGATTCATCTCAATACACGTATTAAAGTCAAAACATGGAAAACAATTTTTGATCACTGCCTCACTTTTAACAAAGGCACCAAATGACAAGAGATGATTCACCAATTCATCAATGAATTTACATTCAGTTGCATAAATTATATCGTTTGGTAAATGACATGTTTTAGACTCAGTCTTAAAACATAGGGATATTGCATTCTGGATTATATCTAAAACTGAGTCAAATATTCCTATCTCAGTCCAAATGTGTATATCATTATCGGCAATTCACTGACAATAATATATGGACAGTTGGTATTTTATTTTCAAACATTCTGTTTTGATGGCTATAACAATCGATGAAGAAAGCGAGGTCTAATGTATCAGCCTTATAAAATAATAATTAGACGGGTCGACGTCAATGTAAAATATTTATTCATTCAGAGTTGGAAGAGATAGTTCATGTGAAACTCATTGAAAAAATACATAGGTCTTACCGTTATTTAAGATCAGTAACTTTGGCAAAATTTGGGAATAAAATGTCTGTTTCACTGAATATGAATCACTATGTATGTATGTATGTATGTATGTATGTATGTATGTATGTATGTATGTATGTATGTATGTATGTATGTATGTATGTATGTATGTATGTATGTATGTATGTATGTATGTATGTATGTATGTATGCATGTATGTATGTAAATTTAAAGTTTGATTTGTTTTTTACATTAGATTTTAAGATCCATTTAATTTAAATCTATTTTATTTAAATATTAACATTACAGTAAGGCTCTCCGTGCTATTGAACGATAGACACATAACATCAGATATAAGCTAGTAAAAAAGTAACTGTATAAATAATAAATATATGATAACTATAATAGAGATATACTAAGGAAAACATTCCTAAGTCGCTGCAAAATCAATTTTCACTGATCCTGACGGTAAACACTTAGGTATGTTAGACAAAAATTAGCAATCGTCATTCGTAATCACTTTGAAATGCGTTTGACAAGTGTTTTAATTTACTTTTCACGTAGTGTTTGAATTTAGACCATGGGAGATTAAATAATCGGTCACCGATGTGCAAATTTATGTGCTTTGTATATTCTTCTTTGATTAAAAAGTCATTATAAAATCTGACAAATAATATTCCATTTTATGATTTTAGTTTACCTGCACTGAACTCGACTGATGTGGCAAAAAATCAGATATGCTGGAAATATTCCAGGCTTTAGTCAGTTTCTTTGAATGGAAAATTACTCGCTGCATCCTGGGGAATCGAAGTAATTGAAACCAAACCTAATTACACCGAATTTAGTTTCTTCTGGTTAAGCGACTCCAAATTATAAGCGCAAAAACATTGTTTGGCATTATGACTTAATGCTACGGGACACAGTGGGTTAGAAGCCATTCTGCACTATGTGCGTGACATCTACTGGAAAAACGAATAACGGAGCTCTAAAAATGCATACCAAATTAACTTAGAGGAGATATCACAATATGCGCATATCGTTTATCTTTTTGGAAGGGTTTATCAACATTTGCAATTCGCATTTTCAAAATGGCGATGTTTTATTGAGATGAACGGCTCTTAAAAATGCATTGATTTTTATGTAACAATTTTAATCAAGCTTCTATGTTGCCGTATCCTTCAGCGATGAAAGGCAGAATTAGGCAACGCAGATGTTTATCTCAAATAGAATGCCATACACTTGTTGGAAAATAGACACGTTGTACCATAATTTAAACTGAGAATGTAATATATAGAGTGATTTTGTTTTAATGAAGACGATGATGCATAACGCATATCTCAAATGCAGCCATAAGAAGAAGAAAAAAATCTCTTCAAAATTCTACCAAGGCAAGAAATTATCAAACTGATCTATTGATAGTATTATAGAGACTAATTTATATATGGTTCTATAGAGACTAAACGCTTTTCGGAAATACCACCAATATTTATGAAAAATTAGATGTAGTAAATTCGTGAAACAACATTTTGAAATAGAAGAACGGTTATTTAATAAGGCCTTTTTCACTAGTCAGGCCAGCTACAAGCAAGTCAGACAATTAGTGTGTAAAATATGATTTGTGACCTTTTCTTTTTCTATGGGCCTCCCACCATACTGTCATACCAGGCACCAATTTACAACAGTATTGATCAACGTCACCATTGAATACTGCACGTAATTACATCTTGATTGATTTATTTATCTCCAATGATGGCTGTAAGATAATCAGCTCTATCATTATAATCACATAGTTGTTCTCACGCTGAGAGAAGAAGCGATAATTAGCGAAATAAAACTGATAAATGATATGATGTAACTCCTCAGGTAGCGAATATACCTATGTTATGCAAAGTTGATAATATTAATGACGAAGTCTCAATTACCATTGCGGCTATATCGATGAAACTATGCACTTCTATTGTCCGTTGTGTTTGGTTAAAAATACCGAAGCAATTATTTCCAAATATTACAACTGTTAGGTGTAGGCTCGGACAAATGTAACCGCTCCGGTTGCTTAGTGGTTAGAGCCTCCGCCTCTGATGCGGGAGGTCGTGGGTTTAAACCCCGGCTGAGTCATACCAAAGACTTTAATATATAATACTAACAGCTGTCCATTATGGATCACTGCCATCTCTCCTCTGTTTGCGTGAGTTCGAGTCTAAGATTCGGCGAATGTGGATATGTGAGAAAACTTGCCAGTAGCTTCTCTTATGTAGCCTATCGTGTGATTAAAAATGGCTTTAAGCCCCAGAACAACAAAAAACCTAACAGCTGCTGCGTCGCCTGGCGCTCAGCATTAAGAGGTTAGTGTTAGGACTGGTTTGCCTGGTGTCAGGATGATGTGACTGGGTGGTACATCATGTCACATTTCTGCGGTATGATGCCCCAGTGCTAGATATCACAATAAACTGTCACAGTGCAGAAATCGTAGCGATATGATTGAAAAATTGTTAAAGCTACGTTAAAAATCTAAATCAGTCAATCACGAACGCACACACACACACACACACAAATGTAACAAAAGAAAAGAGTGAAGAAAACAAGCATTGTAAATGTTGGCAAAAAATAATATATTTCCCTAGAAAACGGTATAAATGTGAAATAGGACGCACAATTTGTGAAAATAATCGAAAATTTAATCTTAAGACTAACAAATGTAAGTCCTATCACAAAACAGTTCTAATTGAATCCATTTTCGAATTTCGATGAAATTCCAATATGGAAGACGATGACGTCAGATGAGGTAGTTGTACCAATGGCAACCATTCCTCGTTGCATTTTGTGAATCAAGAATAATAGTCCGGCTTTTGAATTTAG